TAGTGACAGCCAGAGCAGGTGGCCTGTTGGCCTTAGAGCAAGGGTCAGCCAGCGGCTTCTGTAAAGGGCCAGCTAGTACATATTTTAGTTTTTGTGACTCATATGTCTCTGTCACAACTGCTCGATTCTGCTATTGTAGTGCAATCCCAGCCATAGACAATATGAAGAAATGGGCGTAGCTGTGTTCCAATAAGACTTGATTTCTAAAACAGGCAGTAAGCAGGATTTGGCCAGGGGGGAGACGTTTGCCAACCCTTGCCCTACAACATCAAAATGCAGAAGATATAAATACTTCAAATAATGATTTGTTTTATTTATTTATTTATTTTTGTTATCCTCACCCGAGGACATTTTTCCATTTTTTGTTCAGATAGAGTGGGAGGGAGAGAGAGGAGGAGAGAAACATCGACGTGAAAGGGACACATTGAGTGGCTGCCACCCGCATGACCAACCAGGGCTGGGGACAAACTGCAACCGAGGTACATGCCCTTAGAGGGAACCGAGCCCGGATCTCTCTGGACTGCAGGCCGATGCTCTAACTGCTGAGCCAAACTGGCCAGGGCCAAATAATGATTTTTAAACCTTGCAAAAAATTTTCATGGCCCTGCATCCTCCGAAACCCTCCCCCCTCATCTCTCTGAGGCCTTGGTGGCAGGCCTGCTGTGTGGGCCCAGGGCCCTTGGCCAGAGGAAGAGGTGGTGAACTGAAGCCCCTCCTTACTCCCTGCCCCACTCACCTTGGTGGACATGAGGGCTTTGGGGGGCTGCTTGCCCTGGACACCAGATATGCAGCTTCAGCCTGTACTGTTATGTCCTAAGCATCTGCGAATGGCTCCCATGCTCTGTGCTGGACTCTGCAAAAGCAGCAGAGGAATGGAGAGCTTTTAAAAGCCTGGGGTTTTCATGATGAGAGAGAACACCCACGCAGGACACAGAGTCAACCAACTCGAACCTTAAGCCAGGGATTTGTGTCGGAAGGGGAGGCTTGTGGAGGGGCAGCCCTGGTCTTCTAGGCAGGTGCTCAAGATGAAAACTGTCTATGGTTGTGAAGGTACAGTTTTCCTAAAAGAAATACCCTGGAAGGGAGGTTTTATACCCTGAAGATTGGTCACCATCTCTCTTTAAAATGGTGGATGGCACCCTCCCCACCCCCGATTCCTGTGCCAGAGGAGAAGTTTCTCTGTAGAAAATGAAAAAGGAAAAGGAATGTCTGTGATTATAAATGTTAAGAGGAGATAAAAATACTTAAAAAATATAATAAACTCTGGGGATGTTTATCCATTAAACAAACCAACAGGGATGTTTTCCAACGAAGTGGAGGGGTCATGTTTGGAAGTAGATCACCTCGGGGTGGGTGGATGGCCGGGGGAAGTGCTAGTGGTGGATGCCACCCCCCCTCCCCCAGGGGAGGCGGAGCTCAGCCAGCCCTGCGTTTGCTGGCTGGGAGCTGGGCCCTGGGAGCCGGAGCCGGGTCCTGGGCTGCTTTTCTCCACGTGGATGCACTGTGTTGTATGTACCTAGATGTAGTTGTTGCATAAACAGAATAGTGCTCTTAATATGTTTGTTTTTATTTTCTCTTTGTAAAACTATTTTAAAATTACAAAATGAGCCCGGCTGGTGTGGCTCAGTGGTTGAGCATCAACCCATGCACCAAAAGGTCACCAGTTCAATTCCCGGTCAGGGCACATGCCCAGGTTGTGGGCCTGATCCCCCGTGGGGGGCATGTAGGAGGCAGCCAGTTGATGTTCTCTCTCATCGATGTTTCTGTCTCTCTGTCCCTCTCACTTCCTCTCCCTAAAATCAATAAAGAAAACACAATTACAAAATGATATTCCTTGTAACCAGTTAATACATTGGAGATAAAGTAAAGAACAAGTGAGTTTCCCTCACACTCCTGAGGTAGCCGTGTGAACACCTCGTGTTCTCTCCTGGCACCTTCCCTGTGCTCATCTGCACACGCTCACGGGTGTTTGAAGTGCTGCTTGTCTTTATGGAAGTGGGGACACGCTCGTGCCCTGCTCCGTGGCTGAACCTTCTACTTGACAGTAAGTCATGGCCATCCCACTAGGTCCATTGAAACCCGTGCTTTGTAACTGGCTCCTTGGTATTGTGTGATGTGAATGTGCCCTAGTGTCTGGCTCATTCATATTCTCTACATTCTCCTACTCTCTTCTGGGAGGGGAGGTTTACTCCTTTTCTCCTTCTTAATAGTCTGTATCTTTGTGTTTTTTCTTAATCAGACTGCCAAGGATTTATGTATTTTGTTGATCTTTTAAAAGACCAGCTTTTGCTCACTGTGTCCTTTTGTTATTTTTCTCTTCTTTTTCATTAATTTCGTATTTCCTTTTATTACGCCCCAGGATCTGGCCTTGTCTGGTTTCACGGTCTGCGCTCCTGACCACCGCTCTCCCTCATGCATCCGCAGGCCCTTTCTTCTGGTACTGGCGTCTCTGGGCTAAACAGTGGTTTCGGTGTAAAACTGAGCGAGGGGCTGTACTGGAGTTTCTGGCAGCAAAGGCAGTGTGTCCTGCTTGGGCCACTTCTCGGGAGCAAATGCTGCTCTCCAGCTGCAGAAAGAGGCAATCGGTCGGGAGCTCCAGAGGCCGGCGGTCATGTTCGAGCCCCAGCGCCCTCCTCTGCACGGCAGAGTCTAGGATGCCTGGGGAGGAGATGCCTGAGCAGATACCATCATTACCACGTTTATCGCTTGTTCTTTAACTTCTGATACAGCTGACCGTGGAGTTCTGTTGACCTGCCCGCCCCAAACTGATGACATAGCCTCATTATCCCCATCACACTCTTGGTACTTAGTCAAGAGTAAGTTTGAGTTCTGAGGTGAATGCAGGAAAACATCGATCTATCATCTGTCTGTCGGTCTGTCTCTCATCTCATCTGTCTCCCTGTCAGAGATGATTGTATTTCCACCACTTTTATCGGGCCTCCCCCTTTACCAAGTAGAGACAGAAGTGCCCAGTGTAATCTGGAGACCGCTGGCAGTGATGTTCCGTCTGGTTGCACAGTGAACCAGCCTCAGTGAGGAGCGGCGCCTTCCTTGTGATCTCCCCGCAAACACAGAAATTGTATAAAAGGCCAGAACTTAATGATGCCTGCTTCCCAATGTACTTTTTTCTTTTAATCCTCACCCGAGGACATTTTTGCATTTATCTTGAGATAGAGTGGGAAGGAGAGAGGGAAGAGAGAGAGAGAAACATCAGTGTGAGAGAGACACATCGAGTGGTTGCCACCCATATGTCCCCAGGGGCCGGGGACAAACTGCCACCGAGGTACATGCTCTTGGCTTAGCGGGAACCGAACCCGGGCCTCTCTGGTCCAGCTCTAACCGCTAAGCCAAACCGGCTTGGGCACCCAATGTACTTTTTATACAGTAAACATATTACAAAATATTTATTGAATGCTTGCAACATACTTAGCAAGCGCAGGGGATTTTAAGAGGTGCAATCAGCTTAAAATTTTTTGTTTTTAAAGATGTTTGCATTCTTGGTGGTGCCAGGAGAGAAAAACTTATATGCATTATATAACAGAATATGGCCCCAGGTATTTAATTGTATGGCCCCAGTAGTAAGCATCATGTTCATCCAGAACGTGGGACGAGGAAGGCTTCAGGAAGAAGGAGGATCCAGGTGGAGGCCCGGGGAAAATTCGTCTGTGAGAACAGCCAGAGCAGAGCTCCAGTGGGGGGAGCAGCTAGGGGTGGTGATGGGGGAACCTGATGAGACAAGGAGGCTAAAGAATTATGGAAAGTGAGGCTGGTGCCCTGGCCAGTTTGGCTCAATAGTTGGAACGTCAACCTGTGGACCAAAGAGTTGCGGGTTCAATTCTGGTCAAGGGCACATACCTCGGTTGCGGTTTGTCCCTGGCCCCCTGGTCGGGGTCATGTGGGAGACAACCAATCGATGTGTCTCTCTCACATCAATGTTTCTCTCTCTCTCCCTCTCCCTCCCCTCCCTTCACTCTATCTGAAGATAAATGGAAAAATATCCTAGGGGGAGGATTAAAAAAAGAAGAAGAAGAAAGTGAGGCTGCTGTCATTTTTAAATATTTACTTAAAATTGTGTTGCAAATATTTTTTAAAAGGTAAAATTATGACTCTCAGGCAAATATAAAATAAACATGTGTGAAAGATTTCATTTAACTTATTTAATGATTGGAGGAGCCAATAAGATGTTAAAGAGCAGGCGAATTGCTGGGCATGGATCCTCGGTGAACACAGAGAAAGTCCATAAATTAGTAGTTAGGCTACAACTTCATAAATAAGTGTTTAGGGTAAGTTCTGGGCTAGACACAGAACTGATCAGTGTCTCAGGACAGTGGGCCCTAATCTTGTGGGTGGTCTGGCCCACTGGACAGAGTTCCTTACATCACTGCTGGAAAGAAAACAACCCATAAGTTAACCTGTAACTGTGAATTCTAGGACATTTAATTTATTTACTCATTAGTAAACAATGGGCAGAAGTAAGTAGATAGAACCTAAATAGTAGAGCCTAATCCTTGGGTAGCCTTTGTTCCATGTGACATTGAAAGGGTGTGCTGCCCACTTTTTCCCCTTATTTTCAAGTTTCAGACCATTTTAAAAAAATAATAGTGACCTACAGAAAAATGGAGAACAAACTGGGGTCTGCTTCAGTGCCCTTCCGAGGATGGGACCCCTGTTTGGTGTCGTTCTCTGTTTAGTTCTTGAATAGCTCAGAGAAGTCCAACGGCGTCTTTGGTCCAGAATCCCCTTGTCTTTCCATTTTAGTTCCTGACAGCCAGCTCTAGGCTTGGGGTGGCTATTCGGTCCCCTCTCTGGATGATGGTGGAGAGGTAGATGAGAAGAACTGGGGCTGAGCAGGGTTCGGGCGGATGGGTCATTTAACCCTGTGCTGGTCCCCAGGCCCCATGCTGACAGGGGTGAGCGGGCCCTCAGTGCCAGGCAGCTCTGGCCAGGGCCCCGATGCCCTTCTCTCTGGCTGAGTCTTCCTACCTAGCATTGCCTGTCAGTGTGTTGCAGGCGCCATGTACATCACCGGCTTCGCCGAGTCCATCTCAGACCTGCTGAGCCTCAGGAACATCTGGGCCGTGCGAGGCATTTCCGTTGCCGTGCTTCTGGGCTTGCTGGGGATTAACCTGGCAGGTGTCAAGTGGATCATCCGCCTGCAGCTGCTGCTGCTGCTCCTGCTGGCCGTGTCCACGCTGGACTTTGTGGTGGGCTCTTTCACACACCTGGATCCAGGTAAGCCTTGGGAGTTCAGTAGCTGGCCTTGCAGGGTCTGCACTGCTTGCTCGAAGTTTATAGATGTGAGTCTGCAGGATGACCCGGCTCTGTGCTCCACCTACGAGTGTGCGCTGTTCTCGGGCAGTGAGTGGGTGGGGGTCTTGGTGCAGCCTCAGGGGCCTGAAAGCCCCTCCTCACATAGACACTTTCACTTAGCACATTTTCCATGTGCTTTTTTTTCTTTCTATTATAAATCCCAGGAAATTTAGATAAGACAATACAATCAAACTGGACAGATAAACATCAAATTCATAATGGTGATTAGGGGAGTGGGCAAGAAATAGATCTGGACGTAGGGAAGAAAATGGACTTTAACTGTATCTGTCATACTTAAAAAATCATTTAAAAGGATTTGATGCAAATATAACAAGTGTTAACAATTGTCATTTTTGGGAGATGGAGGCAGATATAGGTTTGATTACCTATCATTCTGTTTGTTACAAATTTATTTCAAAGTAAATATACGAATCAGTTAACTAAGTTTAAAGACGAAATGAACAGCCAGAAACACTCTGCACCACTGGGAAACCGTGTTATGTAGTGGTGATCAGCGGGTCACTGCTCTGACCCTGGGCTTCCTCAGTCTTGGGGATGCTGGGCAACGCTCATCCTAAATCCTTGTGCTTTGAGTGAGAAAGTATTACCCATAACTTTGTAGCTTTGTGATTTGAGTTGGTTTGGCTTCAAAAGTCTTTCTGTGCAGAGTGCAGAGCTGTTCCTAGGATGCTGCCGAAGAGGGTTAACTGCCTGACGGTTCACACTCCGGGTCTGTTTGTATATGGCAGGAGTGACCAGGCAGCTGCACTGGAATGTGGACCAGGAAAGGGGGAGGGGGCCACCAGCTGTGTTAAAAGGGAACAAGAGAAACTGGTCTGAGCACAATCGCCTCTAATGGTGGCGGTGCCGGCAGCTGCGTTTGACTGAGCCGTCATGGGCCAGGCATCTTGTTAGCACCTCACGTGGCTAATGTGTTGCAGTCCTCGCCATAACCTCATGAGGGAACATTGTACCCATTTTACAGATGAGGACACTGGAGCTCAGAGCTCATATAATTCGTGGTAATGCATGGCGGAGCTGGGAATGAAACTAGATCTGTGGGACTCCAAAGCTCAGTTGTTCCCTGCGGTGAGCAGCAGGGCCCGTCTTCATGCTACTGGCTCTCTTTTCATGACAGCAGCGCCGCTTTTCCGCTGCCCCCGGCGTGTGTTGTGTACAGGCTTGTCTTTCATAAAAGTGTTGATTGGCCCTGGCCAGTTTGGCTTAGCGGTTTGAGCGTCGGCCCGCAGACCAATGAGTCACAAGTTCGATTCCGGTCAAGGGCACGTACCTTGGTTGTGGTTGGGTCCTCAGCCCTGGTCAGGGTCGTGTAGGAGGCAACCAGTCGATGTGGCTCTATCACAACAGTGTTTCTCTCTGTCTCTCTCTCTTTCCCTCCCTCCCACTCTAGCTGATAATAAGTAGAAAAATATTCTCAGGTGAGGAATTTAAAAAAAGTGTTGATTGAACAAAGGTCAGAGTGTAGTTGCAATGATGCCCTGATCCAGTCTTATCATTTCTTCATACATTAAAATTCTTCTTTTGGAAAATAGTCACTCCCCTGAGCTCCCTGAGTGCCCCCACCGGTGGCTCTGGCATCCTGGTCCCTCCCCCAGGACCTCCAGACAGCCTGTGACCCAGCATGTATGTACAGAAGGGGCCCCAGACCCCACTCCAGTGCTAAGGGGCGATGCAGTGTTCAGACGGACCCCCCAAAGCCTGGGTCCTGCAGCTTGCTAAGTATTTGGAGCATCTCCATGGGAGGAAGGATGCTTATTACCCTGGCCCTGCACCAGCCTGTAGAGAAAGCCACATCCTGAGGAAGACCTGCTGCCTGCTTGGCTATCAGGCTGTCAGTGAAGGAGCGAGTCTACCTGTGTCTCTGCTTCCTAGGTGCTCCCCCCATCTCTGTGGGCACGAGTAGTTACATTACAGGGAGATGCTCTGGACGCTTTGAAACTTCACTAGGCTGATGTGTTTTCCTTCTTCTTGATTAGAACTTTTCTTGGCTGCATTTCTGTTACTCCAAATATTTCTTCTTCCTTCTGGTCAGTACATTAGTAGGGTGTAGTGTGAAATGAATTTTATTTTCAATCATTCCCATAGCAACTAGCCCCTCTATAATCTGTTTTTGGTATCACCGATGTTTTATATGGGGCTACTTTCTTTGCGGTTAAAAATCCAACTAAAACTAGATCATAAACCTTCAGAATGGATTTAGCAGAATGACTTTGACTCCTTTAAAAAAAAAAATGATATATACATAGACATTTGAAAAAAGACTGGAAGGAACTATGCCTATGTGCTCACGGCGATTGTCTTTCTGCTGAGATTATGGGTGGCTATATTATTTTATTTCTACTTTCCTCCTATTGATTAGTGCTACTTTAAAGCAAAATTAATAGCCTTTAGTTTTTAGAGCAGTGTTAGGTTTACAGGAAATTGAGCAGAGAGTTCAGAGTTTCCCACATGCTTCCTCTCTCCCTCCCCTACACAGTTTCCGCATTATAACATCTTGCCTTAGTGGGATACATTTGTTACAAGTGATGAACCAAGAGTGACACATTATCATTAACTGTAGTTGATCATTTAAAGTAGGATTGACCCTTTATGTTGTATAGTTCTGTGAGTTTTGACATATTTATAATGACATGTATCCATCATCATACTAGATAGAACAGTTTTATTGCCTTAAAAATCCCCTGTGCTCCACCTGTTCATCCCCCTCCCCCAACCTTGAACTGGCAACAACTGATCTTTTTACTGTCTCTGTAGTTTTGCCTTTTCCAGAGTGTCACAGAGTTGGAACCATATAATATGCAGCCTTTTCAGACTGGTTTCTTTCACTAAAAAATATGCATTCAAGTTTTCTCTGTGGCTTTTCATCGCTTGATGGCTCATTTCTTTTCTTCTTTTTTTTTTTTTTATCACTGAATAATATTCCATTCTATCGCTGTACTACAGTTGTTTTTTTTTAATCCACTCACCAGTTGAAGGACATTTCATTGCTTCCAGTTTTGGGTGATTATGAATAAAATCTCTATAAACATTTGTGTGTGTGAATTTGTGAGGATGTAACTTAACCCATTCAAATACTGAGGAGCATGATTGCTGGACCGTATGGTAAGGCTGTGCTTTTGTCTTTGTAAGAAACCTGCAAACTGTCTTCCAAAGTGGTTTGGTACCATTTTGCTTTCCCATCAGCAGCAAATGAGAGTTCTTGTTCCACATCTTCAGTATTTACTATTGTCTGTTTCCTGGATTTTAGCCATTTTCCTAGCTGCATAGTGGTACCTCATTGTTTTCCTTTGAGAGTCCCTGATGACATTTGATACTGATCATCTTTTCATCTGCTTCTTTGACTTCTGCATATCATCTTTGGTGAGGTGTTAGTTCATATTTTTTGCCCATTTTTATTTTTATTTATTTTTTATTGTTGAGTTTTAAGAACTCTATGTGTATATATACTTTTTCTGAACGGGTTTTATTACACACAGAGGGGATGGGGCTCAGTTCTCCTTGACTGCTGCCTTCCTCCTGGCTGTGAGGACATTGTTCAGCTCCTCTCTCTTGTCTTGACACTGATGTGTGTCCCCACCCTTTTCTTGATGAATTTCAGGGCCCTCTTGTCCTTAGAGACTCTGAACAGCTTCATTCTGAAGTCCTGAAAGTATATAAGCGTTATTGATTTCCTATACCTGGATAACAATGAATATATTTATTGTTTTATTTTATTTCATTTTATTATTTTATTTTATTTTATTTTTCTTTATTGAATTTAGAGAGAGAGGAAGGGAGAGGGAGAGGGAGAGAAACATCAGTGAGAGAGAACATCAATTGGCCGCCTCCTACATATCCCCTACTGGGGATTGGGCCCACAACCTGGGCATGTGCCCCAACCGGGAATCAAACTGGTAACCTCTTGGTGCATGGGTCAACACTCAACCACTGAGTCACACCAGCCGGGCTGTTTATTCTTTTAAATTCCTGCCATGTGATGGGCAAAAGTGGTGATCCTTTTCTTTTTATTTGGTTTTCTTAAACCATTAATTAACATAATTTTATTTATGTTTTTATTACCACTTGTCTTCAATTTTTCTTTTAAGTTGTCTTACTTTTTAATGATTTGAATCAACATAAAACAAATACTGGCTTAGCTTTTATTAATGCTAGACAATGTTTGTTATATATGTTAAAAGTTTTTCCTATGTCATTTGTTCTTTTAAAGTTAATTTCTATGTGTAATTAAGACAATACATATACATGAAAATGTTTGTTATTGAGTTAAATTATGTACTCTGATGGCTTTCTTTTGGTATATCTTTCAGCTTTTCCTGAAATTAAGCTGACTCTGTGTATGTGTCCTAGGAATGCTTAACAAACCATAAACTCAGTGGGTAAAACGGCAGCCATGTATTTCCTCCCAGTTCTGGAGGCCAGCATTCTGCAATCGGGGTGTCGGCAGGGCCGCACTCCCTGCCCGGGCGCCAGGGTGGACGCCTTCCGAGCCTCTTCCCGTGCCTGGTGGCCCCACACATTTCTTGGCTTGTGGCCTCATCACTTCAATCCTGCCTCTGTCTTCACATGGCCTTCTCTCCTGCTCTCTCCTCTTGTGTACCTTATAATTGTCATAGGAAAGAGTCCAACTTGGACACTCCAGGATGGTCGCTCTTGAGATCCTTAAGTCAATTACATCTGCAAAGACCTTTTCCCAAATGAGGTTCCATCTGCAGGTCCTTGCGGTTATGGCGTGGACATACCTTTTGGGGCAACTATTCAACCCACTACAGTCTATTGTTTTGGTTGGCTTTATTTTCTAGGTTTCTGCCACTATTTTGAAGAAATTCTCTAGTGAGCTTTCCATAAAGAGCACTTTTCCCAGTGCTCCTCATGTTATGTCTTCTCCTGGAGACCCCTCCTCA